GCAGATAATTATAAATTGCAACCTAAAATCGCGCGCAATTTAAATATATAAACACGTGGTAACTATGGCGATAACCAGTTTGAATAATTGTTATTTACGCCCAGCCTACTGAAATTCAAAAAACTATGTTAATTTTTGTTTAAACTTAATCCATATTTGGACAAAAATAAAATTCTCTGTCTTTGTATATTAAAAGATGTTGAATTTTGTACAAAAAAAGCTCTACTTTCGTGCAAATTTATGTTTGATTTTATAAATAAATCTTAAAAGCTATCCTTAAGAACGGATAATGTTTATTCGATATTTCTAATTCTTCTAACTGTAGATACGTACAACCAACAAGTTATTTACAAAGTAAGACTTATTATGAGGCAATTAGTAAACTTTGAGTACCGTTAGATGTTATATGGTCACCAAGTATGCATGTCTCTAATCATAATGATCTATGGTTAGTCATTAATAGTTGTGCAATGTCTTCTCTGGCAATGTCGTTAGTCTATGAATGTCGTCATTCATCATTATGTTTTGCTGTGATATGTAGTCATGTAAACAAAATTGGTTAAATTCAAATAAACATTTTAAATCATTTGTTTTATAAATTAAACAGTCAATGGCCACTTGTATTGTGTATCTAGTTACTTTTGCAGGTTAAATAAAGAAGTGGCAAGTACCTGATTTTTCCCCTTAAAAGAAAAATTGTGCTGATGAATTAAAAAATTGTAAGTTCACATTTAATGAAATATTAGGAAATGCATTCTTTTAATATTGTTTTGTAAAATTAATTTAAATTAGTACTAATCGACATGCTCAGTCCAAAACAAAGTACTTTGACTAACAATTCCAATAAGAATGCTGTACAGGAACTGCCGTTCAACCCAAAGGCAGCAGAAGTGTTTTCAGTGCAAAAAAAATATAGAGAGAAGATGATAAGGTATCTCAGTTTTTGTTTTCCCGAAATAGACGGTATTGTAAGTAATTCTCTTCTTATGTAGGTAGGTATTCATTTAATTAAATATGTTCTGTAGGAGTTACATGAAACATTAAAAGAATGTCTGTTTCAAGTGGATAAGGCAGTGAATGTACTTGAAAAGGTATCAGGAATTACTGTAACAACTGATTTTGTTACTTGGTTGAAAAGTATGAGTTTTAATGTGAAGGAAGTTAAAAAACTGATGAGGCCACCAAAGAGCGCTGTGCAAAATATTAATGAGCCAGGTAAATTATTTAAATTTTAGGATAATACACCAAATATCTATCGTGCTGTTTTAATATTATAACAGGCTACTGTTATACAGCTAACAGTTATATTTAAAAATAAAATTTGTGTTATTCTATTTGATTATTGTTTTTCATTACATACTTGTAATTCCATCTTTTAAATTAGTAGTTTTTAATTTTAGAGAACATTTTTAAATTAATGACTGCAAACCATGATGTACCTGAGAATATATCCCGAGAAGAACAAATTTTGAATATTGTAAGCATCTCTAGTGCATCCGTATACATTTTGACAACTAATTTTTTATTTTAAGATTGAAGACAATCAAATAATAGTAGAAAACGCGACCTTAATGCAACTCCTTGCAAAACCTGTTGTTCACATTGAAAGATTGCCCCTTTCAACTATAGAAAGCACATATCAAAACTTGAATAAAAAGTTATATTTGTAAGATAAAAATTCCTCTTTTTTTTTTACTCTCGTATAAAATTTGATTTTTTAGATCATCTCCACCTTACAAAAGAAACAAATCAGCAAGTAGTATTAAAACTACTGAATCTCCAGTAAAGAATAAAGCTAATGTGATGTCACCCAAGAAAAGGAAAACCAAGTTTCAAGATAAGATTAGACCATACAAGAACAGAAAAACATTTGCAGATATAAATGAAGTTAACGAAGAAATAAATTCAGTTTTAGACAGTGATATTCTGCAGTCACTGTCATCTGAAAAGATATTCAAAAAAATTGAAGACAAGCTTAAGTCCTGTGATGAAATAATCGTACTTCCTCCAACTGTGATTTCACATGAAAAGACTTTTAATATTGGTAAGAATGAGTTACTGCGTTCCAAACAAAGTATTAAAATAAAGATAAAAATTCAACATGTAACAGGTGTAAAGACATTCTCCTTAATTGATGATCATGATCTTGAAGAGTCTCAGTCACAAGATAAAGAAGAAAAATTATCACAATCAAGTGATAACATTATTGAATCACCACCAAACAAGATGCAGCCAGTAGATACAAATGATGTTCATAAACCGAAAGTAGATGAAGAACTTTCTAATGGCACAATTAAAACAAATAAAGAATGTGAACCCTTTAAAGAACCTTCATGTTCTAATGATGTAGTTAACAATGTTGATAAAATTATAACTCCGAATAGCAACCGTGGAGAAACAAATTTACCAACAACAGTCCAAGAAACCACAAGTTCAGTTAGTACAGTGAATGTAAACTGTATTCAAGAAATAGGAAGTACAACTGCAATTGAAGATAATATTTGTGGAAAAGAAAACTCTTTTACAACAAATCAAGGAATTTTACATTTGACTGATTCAGTTAACTTAAACTGTACTACAAGTCAAAATGAAGACAATAGTTGTAGTGATAGAATCCTAACTACAGTATTGCCACAAACTTTACCTTCAACAGATACAGTTAACTTAAACCACAATCAAGAAAGTGCAAGTGTGAGTACAATTAAAAATAATAACTACACTGAAAAAAAGTCAGTGGTAATGAGCCAAGAAAATCAACAATCCAGCAATGCAATGCCAAACTGTACTAAAAGAGATATAGGTGCAATTAAAAATTATAATTCAGGAGAAAGACACGTACCAGTAACAAATCCAGCAATGAATGTTGTGAGTAAAACTCAACCAGAGGCAACTGCTAGTACAAGTTCAGCTAAGGGGAATTTTCTGCTGAATGTAACTGTAGAACAGGCTACAGATACATTACTTCCTCTTCTAAAGTGTCTAGTATCTGTAACAAAAAGAGCTAATTCAGAAATATTTAATAATTCAATTACCATGGTCTCAAACAGCCTCAAATATTATTTATCAAAGGTTTGCATACATTCATTCAACATTTATACGTTTATAAACATTATAGCATCAAAAATGTCATTAGAGGATAAAAGTCCCGATTTGGACAAGAAGATTGTTAAGCTTATGTTTGACAGTTTGTCAGCAACTACTGGTAAACATGTAGAAGAGTCCGAATTCTTATTACGGTTTTATACCGAACTACGGGAGATGGCGAATGATCCGAAATATGCATTGGATCCCCTCACCTTGGATAATCCAATAGACAATGGTAGTAATGCCCAAGAAATGGATGCTATTAATAAAAATCGGTTTTATGACGGACACACTTATCAACCAGTTGATCATGTATACTTGACGAATGTGGCGCAAGTTCTTAAACCAGCAAAGTCTTCAGTGCGATCAAATTATAATTCCCGAAAAGGTTCTAGTCATAGTAACGTAAAAAAGCGGCAGAATAATCGTACACCAGTTTCAAAAAGTAGCGTTTCTAATCGTACTTCAAATCGTTCATTTGCGACCCACTTAGTTTCTCTAGCTGCACGTAAAAATAATCCTTTCGGAGTACGGTTTGGTTCTAATCAAAATTTACACGATTCTGCCTACATTTCTAGTACATCTTCAGGAGATTCTCATCCTTCTTGGACCAAAAAGAATTTAGATCCAGCCATCATATCACCCGTTGGCAGTAACTGTTCCAGTTTGACCTCGTCAATTCCCGCATCAAATTATCCAATGCAGACAGTATCTCATCAACCTATTGTCTTATCCACAGCATCTTCTGTTTCACCCCTTAATAGTAAGCCAGTTTATTCAGTACAAAGTCAAATATCGAACGCCAATAACGTTTTAACTAATTTTAATAAAATTCCTATTTCTGCTTGTTCGTCTAACTTGCCATATCAAAAATGTTCGAGTAGGTCCACACTTCAGCAACCGCCACCCCATTATCGCTCTAAAGGAAACAGTAATTTAAATGGCAATCAATTGATTTATCTAGGAGTACCACCCGGTTCGTGTTCGGCAAATTCAGGAACTTCCTCCAATTCTTACGTCTCTCAGGAACAGGGAACATTTTTGATTCGATCCTTTAATCATTCCAATTTCAATGCACCACGTGTGCCTAACGTATCTAAAATTGTTTTAGGGTGTAGTACTCAAAAACAACTGCCTTCTAATTACAATACAGTTACTTCTAATGATAACGGTATTCAGAATGAGGGGGCGACTCCGGCACCACCTACTCCTCATTCCACTTCAAATGTATTGCGTTTGTCCTCTGCGTCTAATACAGCTTCTGATTGTAATACTCGGAAAGAATTTCCCTCTAGTTACAATACAGTTGCTCTTAATAATAAAGGCATTCAGAATGGGGGGACATTTTCGGCACCATCTTCTTGTAATTCCACTTCAAATTCATTGCTTTTGCCGTCTACGTTTAATACAGCTTCAGGGTGCAATACTCGGAAAGAACTATCCTCTGGTTACAATACAGTTACCTGTAATAATAGTACTCAATATGGGCGCACATTTTCTGCACCATCTACTACTTCAAATGCATTGCGCATGTCCTCTGGGTCTAATACCGTTTTGAAACTTAATACTCATTATCAGTTGCAACAACCCCCTGTTGATAGTGCTGTCACCATTAATAATAGTAGCATTCATAATCAAATTCGTTTTAATAACAACATAACATCTGCTTCTTCTGTCTCTTCCCTTTCAAATAGTGGGACAGGCAATCGTGCCATTTTCGCGAGTAATGAGATAAATGTGTGTTCCACCCCCGTTTGTTCGAAGGTACCCAAAGTTTTCCCAAAATCCACTCAAACGAAAACTGTTCTTAGTAATATTAAAGAATCACGTATATCGCAAGATGCAGTTATTACTGGCGAAGAGGGATTTTTCCCTCCATCACATCAATCGACACAACAGGGGAGACCCCGAACTTCTGTCTCAGTTAATTCTGATGGAGGGAGGTGTTGGGAAAAAGGAGAAGATGATTCAATGGCAAGTTTAAAATTATATGAGATGAATATGTTTCCAAATATGAACGAAAATTGCCCGAATACAATGGAATTTATCGATCTTGACTATTATTACGGAAATTCGACCAATAAATAAAGTAATTATTCATGTTTTCCTTGTTATAATTGTTATATGTTGTTAATAGTACTTTATATTGTTATATTGTTTATTATAGTGCGTAAGTCTGTTGCATGTAACTGTTTAATGATTATTATTGTTTATAAGTAAATAATTATGCCAATAAAAATATTGTAATGTTATCTGTGTTTTTTTCATAAGTAACTGGCCATCTTTAGTTTGAATTTTATATCATCAACATTTAGTGCAAATTATTATACAGAACAGCTATTTTTTTGCAATATTGCAGTAGGAGGATCTCTCAAAAACGACCCCAGGTGTAGTTGTCTGCATGTGATAATGAGAAAACTGATAACTTCATATTAAAAAAGAATGTAGTGATGAGTAGTATTGTAGATAAGTTATTTTAAGATAATCATATTATTTATGCTGATAGAAAATTAAGAGAATATGTTAATAATATGGAATATGCAAGGTAATAAATTTTAGATTAATTTTTAATATCTTAGTGCCATCTATGAATTATGACTACACACTAATAAATAAATACGTGACTTGTGCCACTACCTACCAAAACATATGTGAAATAAAGGGATGAAATAGATAAATACAATTACTAACTACCATAACCCGCCAAATAAATATTAATTGCACATAAACAAATAAAAAGTAAATGTTATATTAGTATATATAGTGTATTCTCGTACTAAATAAAATGTGTATTTTAAAAAGTTTTATTGTGATGATTAGTTCGTTTGCTAAGTATGTTTAAATTGTTTTAAAGTTTATGGAATTAGGTAACCTATAAAGCATATCTAAGAAGCTTTTAGTGAATAAGTCATTATTTTTTATGAAAAATTGAAGATATCCTTCTAAACATAATATTTAATGCATCCTAGTTGTAAATAATAGGTGAAAATGCTTCCTACTTTTTGTATGTTTGAGGTGCAGTCGCTGTAAAATTAAGCACAAAAAAGAGCCAATAAACTTGTTTTAAAGTATCCTTATAGACCGAAAAATCCAATATTGCATAATTATTAGACATACAATAAATACACTTCGGTGAAATTATCTAATATAGTCATAAATAAGTTTGTAAGATGGACACACGACCAAGTGGATCTCATTCAAGAAAAATATGGGTTATTCAAAAGACAGATGCTATTATCGAAAAAGAATTGCAGTTGAAGTTCTTAAAGGAGTCGTTTCCTGGTGTAAACCCCATGGTAAGTTAACTGCTTATTTGTTTTCAATTTAGTAATTTCGGATTCGCATATGACATCAAGTGCATTCTTCCTAACTTTCTATACTTTATTCCTGTTTAACTTCCTTAAGTACATATTTATAATTAGTCATAGTTAAATTTATTTTTTGCATACTAATATCGTTTAAAACATTTACCAGGCATTGCATGATGCTCTATGTGAAGTTAATTTTAATGCTGACAAAGCTGCACAACTTCTCATGGGCATAAGCAAAAAAGTGTCCGAAATATTGCCGTTTACTCAGTGGAAAAATGAGCTAACTAGTATAATTTCAAGTGGTAATAAATGCGTGGAAACCCCATTACCAGGTGTAATAAATAAAAGGTCTTCAAATTCAAACACCACAAATGATACAAAAAGAGGTGACTTATTGTAATTAATCATTTATGAGCGTTATTAATATGCAATGACTTTTTAGCCAAACTGGAAACATTATTTACAGAAAAGAAAAGTACAAGATTAACCCCTGGTGAAGTTAAAAAACCACTAGTTTCCCAAAAACGCGTAACTGCACATATGACCCTCAATTTTATTCCTAAACACGAAAATAGAGACAGTTTGAATCCTAGAATAGACTATGTCGATGAAAGTAGTAGCAGTGAAACAAAATTATCAAGAAACGAACCACTTGTGAAGCCTGAAGAGAATTTCAAACAGTTAAGAAGTGGTAGACCAATTGAATCTAATATTATGGATTTTATTATTAAGAAAAGATCAAAAAAATTGTCTGAGAAGAAAGGAAAAAGTATCCCAAGTACTGATATGACATCATCTGATTCAACTAGTCCTTTTAGTATTGTGAATTCACCAATGTGTTATCTTCAAGAGCAAACTGTATCAAGGTTCGTTAAACGTCTTTTAAATTGTTTATTTGAAAGTGCTTCACTTGTCTAAATAATAACTTCATTATCAGACAACCATTGTAAGACATAATTAGTATATTTGGAGATTCAAAGATTTATGCATCTATAATTTTATATAAAAATTAAAAGACTTTATTGCTTTATAAATTTAGTTCTGATTTCAATCCCTATGACGGAAGTGACCTGGAAAACGACAGGAACATCTTGCTCAATATTTTCCAAACTGCTGGCTTCAATGACTTGAATTTCATAACATCTTTTTCAAAAAGGGCAGTAGATGCAATTATTGAATGTCGACCTTACAAAAGTTGGATGGATTTGGTTTGTTGTTAAATAAAATTGATACCTACTTAGTGGGACAATTATTTAAATTATTTGTTTACAGATTCAGAAGTTCGAAAATAACAAATTTTTGGACATTGATGTTTTAAATACCACTCGTCAGTTACTAGATATTTACAGAAATCTTAAAAACTTAATTTTGAAACTTGAAGAGATTAGCAAAACCATTAAAAATGAAATTGTTCTTGAAACTATTAAGCATCAGCCATCATTAGTTTCACCTTTGTAAGTGGATTGGTTTTTACAATTTTTTTTTTCGTGGAATAATATTTGATTGCCCTTCTTTTATCGCCTTCTTTTAAGTGTTCGATTGATGGAACATCAAATGTTGGGACTTAATTGGTTGGTGTCGATGAAAGAACAGAGAATTAATGGAATTTTAGTAGATGAAGATCAGTTTAGTACAAGTGTTCAAGTGATTTCTTTTTTGGCTTATTTAAAAGAAGTTAAAGCAACTAAAGTGGGGATTCCCCATTTGGTTGTTGTACCCTCTTGGAAACAAGGTATGTGCAAATAATTGTCAATTATTTTTAATTAAATTATTTTCTGTNTCTTTCCACTTTTTTAAAAATGACATTCATGTTTAATTTTGGAAATAAAAAAGAATTACTGTTATAAAATATACTTTTTATATTCCTAAGTGCCTTTTTGGTACAAAAAGAAATGTTGTGATTAAAATGTACCTGAATGTCGATGTAAATAGACTTATCGTATATTAGATTTATTGTACCAGTGTTAGAAATTTCGATAAATGAAAAAGAAAAGTTCATTTTTTTGATAAAAGTTCGAAATTATGTTCTAGAGTTTACGTTTTTTACGCTTTTGATATGTATATGTTTTTTATAAGGATATTACACAAATTTTTTACAATTTTTATTATTCTTTCATAAACCTTTCCAGCAAACCGGGGTCAAAAATCTTCAAGAATTCGTCTACAATTTAAATAGTTTACATACTTTTATTGTGATCCATCTTTGACATGTTTATTTTACCCAACATAAGAATAAAAAAACTTTTGTTCTGTCCGAGATTTGTTCCCGTGTCGCCCGAGCGGCAGATAATTATAAATTGCAACCTAAAATCGCGCGCAATTTAAATATATAAACACGTGGTAACTATGGCGATAACCAGTTTGAATAATTGTTATTTACGCCCAGCCTACTGAAATTCAAAAAACTATGTTAATTTTTGTTTAAACTTAATCCATATTTGGACAAAAATAAAATTCTCTGTCTTTGTATATTAAAAGATGTTGAATTTTGTACAAAAAAAGCTCTACTTTCGTGCAAATTTATGTTTGATTTTATAAATAAATCTTAAAAGCTATCCTTAAGAACGGATAATGTTTATTCGATATTTCTAATTCTTCTAACTGTAGATACGTACAACCAACAAGTTATTTACAAAGTAAGACTTATTATGAGGCAATTAGTAAACTTTGAGTACCGTTAGATGTTATATGGTCACCAAGTATGCATGTCTCTAATCATAATGATCTATGGTTAGTCATTAATAGTTGTGCAATGTCTTCTCTGGCAATGTCGTTAGTCTATGAATGTCGTCATTCATCATTATGTTTTGCTGTGATATGTAGTCATGTAAACAAAATTGGTTAAATTCAAATAAACATTTTAAATCATTTGTTTTATAAATTAAACAGTCAATGGCCACTTGTATTGTGTATCTAGTTACTTTTGCAGGTTAAATAAAGAAGTGGCAAGTACCTGATTTTTCCCCTTAAAAGAAAAATTGTGCTGATGAATTAAAAAATTGTAAGTTCACATTTAATGAAATATTAGGAAATGCATTCTTTTAATATTGTTTTGTAAAATTAATTTAAATTAGTACTAATCGACATGCTCAGTCCAAAACAAAGTACTTTGACTAACAATTCCAATAAGAATGCTGTACAGGAACTGCCGTTCAACCCAAAGGCAGCAGAAGTGTTTTCAGTGCAAAAAAAATATAGAGAGAAGATGATAAGGTATCTCAGTTTTTGTTTTCCCGAAATAGACGGTATTGTAAGTAATTCTCTTCTTATGTAGGTAGGTATTCATTTAATTAAATATGTTCTGTAGGAGTTACATGAAACATTAAAAGAATGTCTGTTTCAAGTGGATAAGGCAGTGAATGTACTTGAAAAGGTATCAGGAATTACTGTAACAACTGATTTTGTTACTTGGTTGAAAAGTATGAGTTTTAATGTGAAGGAAGTTAAAAAACTGATGAGGCCACCAAAGAGCGCTGTGCAAAATATTAATGAGCCAGGTAAATTATTTAAATTTTAGGATAATACACCAAATATCTATCGTGCTGTTTTAATATTATAACAGGCTACTGTTATACAGCTAACAGTTATATTTAAAAATAAAATTTGTGTTATTCTATTTGATTATTGTTTTTCATTACATACTTGTAATTCCATCTTTTAAATCAGTAGTTTTTAATTTTAGAGAACATTTTTAAATTAATGACTGCAAACCATGATGTACCTGAGAATATATCCCGAGAAGAACAAATTTTGAATATTGTAAGCATCTCTAGTGCATCCGTATACATTTTGACAACTAATTTTTTATTTTAAGATTGAAGACAATCAAATAATAGTAGAAAACGCGACCTTAATGCAACTCCTTGCAAAACCTGTTGTTCACATTGAAAGATTGCCCCTTTCAACTATAGAAAGCACATATCAAAACTTGAATAAAAAGTTATATTTGTAAGATAAAAATTCCTCTTTTTTTTTTACTCTCGTATAAAATTTGATTTTTTAGATCATCTCCACCTTACAAAAGAAACAAATCAGCAAGTAGTATTAAAACTACTGAATCTCCAGTAAAGAATAAAGCTAATGTGATGTCACCCAAGAAAAGGAAAACCAAGTTTCAAGATAAGATTAGACCATACAAGAACAGAAAAACATTTGCAGATATAAATGAAGTTAACGAAGAAATAAATTCAGTTTTAGACAGTGATATTCTGCAGTCACTGTCATCTGAAAAGATATTCAAAAAAATTGAAGACAAGCTTAAGTCCTGTGATGAAATAATCGTACTTCCTCCAACTGTGATTTCACATGAAAAGACTTTTAATATTGGTAAGAATGAGTTACTGCGTTCCAAACAAAGTATTAAAATAAAGATAAAAATTCAACATGTAACAGGTGTAAAGACATTCTCCTTAATTGATGATCATGATCTTGAAGAGTCTCAGTCACAAGATAAAGAAGAAAAATTATCACAATCAAGTGATAACATTATTGAATCACCACCAAACAAGATGCAGCCAGTAGATACAAATGATGTTCATAAACCGAAAGTAGATGAAGAACTTTCTAATGGCACAATTAAAACAAATAAAGAATGTGAACCCTTTAAAGAACCTTCATGTTCTAATGATGTAGTTAACAATGTTGATAAAATTATAACTCCGAATAGCAACCGTGGAGAAACAAATTTACCAACAACAGTTCAAGAAACCACAAGTTCAGTTAGTACAGTGAATGTAAACTGTATTCAAGAAATAGGAAGTACAACTGCAATTGAAGATAATATTTGTGGAAAAGAAAACTCTTTTACAACAAATCAAGGAATTTTACATTTGACTGATTCAGTTAACTTAAACTGTACTACAAGTCAAAATGAAGACAATAGTTGTAGTGATAGAATCCTAACTACAGTATTGCCACAAACTTTACCTTCAACAGATACAGTTAACTTAAACCACAATCAAGAAAGTGCAAGTGTGAGTACAATTAAAAATAATAACTACACTGAAAAAAAGTCAGTGGTAATGAGCCAAGAAAATCAACAATCCAGCAATGCAATGCCAAACTGTACTAAAAGAGATATAGGTGCAATTAAAAATTATAATTCAGGAGAAAGACACGTACCAGTAACAAATCCAGCAATGAATGTTGTGAGTAAAACTCAACCAGAGGCAACTGCTAGTACAAGTTCAGCTAAGGGGAATTTTCTGCTGAATGTAACTGTAGAACAGGCTACAGATACATTACTTCCTCTTCTAAAGTGTCTAGTATCTGTAACAAAAAGAGCTAATTCAGAAATATTTAATAATTCAATTACCATGGTCTCAAACAGCCTCAAATATTATTTATCAAAGGTTTGCATACATTCATTCAACATTTATACGTTTATAAACATTATAGCATCAAAAATGTCATTAGAGGATAAAAGTCCCGATTTGGACAAGAAGATTGTTAAGCTTATGTTTGACAGTTTGTCAGCAACTACTGGTAAACATGTAGAAGAGTCCGAATTCTTATTACGGTTTTATACCGAACTACGGGAGATGGCGAATGATCCGAAATATGCATTGGATCCCCTCACCTTGGATAATCCAATAGACAATGGTAGTAATGCCCAAGAAATGGATGCTATTAATAAAAATCGGTTTTATGACGGACACACTTATCAACCAGTTGATCATGTATACTTGACGAATGTGGCGCAAGTTCTTAAACCAGCAAAGTCTTCAGTGCGATCAAATTATAATTCCCGAAAAGGTTCTAGTCATAGTAACGTAAAAAAGCGGCAGAATAATCGTACACCAGTTTCAAAAAGTAGCGTTTCTAATCGTACTTCAAATCGTTCATTTGCGACCCACTTAGTTTCTCTAGCTGCACGTAAAAATAATCCTTTCGGAGTACGGTTTGGTTCTAATCAAAATTTACACGATTCTGCCTACATTTCTAGTACATCTTCAGGAGATTCTCATCCTTCTTGGACCAAAAAGAATTTAGATCCAGCCATCATATCACCCGTTGGCAGTAACTGTTCCAGTTTGACCTCGTCAATTCCCGCATCAAATTATCCAATGCAGACAGTATCTCATCAACCTATTGTCTTATCCACAGCATCTTCTGTTTCACCCCTTAATAGTAAGCCAGTTTATTCAGTACAAAGTCAAATATCGAACGCCAATAACGTTTTAACTAATTTTAATAAAATTCCTATTTCTGCTTTCCCCAAAACAGCGCTCCTTCACACAGTTATTTCCACAGTACGGTCTATCCTCCGACACTTCCTCAACATTCGACTTTCTCTGGAATTCCTTCAATGCAAAATAGCGTTCGAAACAATTACAATCATCCAGAAAGTACCTTTCAGTCGCACGTGAACGAAAGAAGCAAGAAAGAGAACAAAACCTTCGACAATTCCCGAAATTTGCATTTGCCTAGAATTGCGCCGCCTGTGTCTCAAACGTACCCAGTTCACAATTCCTTGCCCATCCAACACGTTTCCGCCCCGTCTCCTTCCGAAGCATCAAATTCGATCGTTAGTCCTGTTCGACAACAGATGATGTCACCTCAAAGTCAACAGTCACAGTGTTTGCCAACAATTCAACCACCTGCGTCTCAAACGTTGTACCCGGTTCACAACCCCATGTCCACCCAAAACGTTTCTGCTCCACCTCCTTCTGAGGCATCAAACTCGATCGTTAATTCTGTTCCACAACAGTTGCTGGTGGCACCTCAAAAATCACAGTTTTTGTTGAGTGACTTGCTTCGTTCGCATCAGTTTCCTCTGTCGCCGACACCCATCAGTGTCGCTCTCGATAAGCCAAATCCTGCTGACTTCCCCGGAAGGAGCGATATTAGTGACAAAGACGGATCGACTGAGCAAAGACATTGTCAGGTGACCAGTAGTCCACCAGTTACCGAGAAAGATATCTCTTCACAACAACCTCCTGCAAATCCCGCCGACAACTTCAAGATTTACTTACCACCACGGTCTTCTGCCGATACAACAAATAAAGAAGCTCAACCAGAGGGCCCAGTATCTTCAGAAGAAGTACCAGCAGCTAATGTTCATGGTACATCATCTAACGACGATATCGTTAAAATAAGTGATTCTGAAGAAGAAGAAGACGAAGGAGAAGTTGAACCGGAGTACATCAGTATTGAAAAGTGGGTCATCATGAACCAGGAAGTTATCGACTTGGAAGACTATGACGATATATTTGAACCGAAATATTTGAAGCAGGACATTAAAAATGAAATGAATAATGACGGTTATGAAGAATCTGTAACGGTTGAGGTCAGTCAGTGTTGATTAAGGTTTTACGTAACTAGAATAATTGTCGTTTGTTACAGGAATTTCCACCAGAGGTGTCGTCTCCTGATAGTGGAATATGCACCCCCAAAGGGGTAAGTTTATATACCATACATGTCGTATGCATGGGGACTTAAGTCTTGATAATCGAAATAACAAAGCCTAGTACTTTGTTGTTGCGCATGTGCTGTTTATTGCTTATCATCTAATTAAAATTATCATTAGCAGTCGTTAGTAGTTAGATAATTTATGTTGCACGATTCTTTTGCATGTGGGCCA